GAGATTGATTCGTTGAAGTACAACGATTCAACCAGCGGACTTACATTTCAGAGAGACGGTAGTATTCGCGCTTAGTATTTTTAGTTAGGTTACCATAAGGCAGTAAGTTGGGTGCTTGAATTTCTTTATTTCAATGCACTAATCTCTTAGCCTATTTGTAGTCATGATTTCATGTACGTGGCAAATTTTTGACCAATTATAGAAAAATGTTCACAAAACTGAACTTTATACATTTTTACGATGAATGTGTAATCTAACTAACACATAAGTATTTCCAAAAGATAACCAAAACTGATCAGCTTAAAATAACTCGAGTTATTTAGTCATACTGTTTACACTTTTTATAGGTTGCTTAGTGTAACTGACATAAAATTAATTTACAAATATCTTAGCTATAAGGAGAATCAGCGGCTTAGTTTTTATCTTATTAACAATATTTCACCATTTAACGTATTATTATTATTGTTCCCTTGGGTTCCTAGTGGAACATAGAGCTTCAGCTGCATGTCTCCACTTGCTTCTGTCTTCTGCTGTACTTTTCATCTGCACCCATGTTAGTCCATACTCTTTCAACTCCTCTTCACACGATCTCCTCCATGTCAACCTTGCACTGACGACCCACTCACCGCTTCCCTTTCGGGTTCTACTCGAGCAATTACCTGACGCACGATGTCACCCTGCGGCCTCCTCAGCCACGAGTGTCCAATCCATCTCCACTTTCTCCTTCATATTTTTTGGTTGGCGATTGGTTCTTGTTTTGTTTGTTCCCAGTCAGTTTCTTGTTGTTGATTCTTTCCGGCCCGGCCATCTGATCTTCAGTATAGAGCCAGCGAAGACAGTTGTTGGTGAAGGTCTGGTCTGCAATAGCCTGTTGGAAATATTCTTTGTGACCCGCCCGCCAAGTTTCTGATCCGTTCCGTATAGAAGAACCGACCGACTTGACGTTTGTATTGAAAATCCGACCGAATTTTGTTGTTGATGCTGGCTGAGTGACGAAGATTCCCAGATTGGTTTCAGGTTGATGATGTAGATGTGTTTCTCGCCTTCCCGATTCTTGCTCGATTTGACATCCTTGTCCGTTCCTCCTGTAGTTGAGACAATGCTCCCCAGATAAGTGAATGAAATAACCTCTTTCAAATCCCTCCGGTTGACGGTGATTGTCGCTGGATGTTGCTGCTGTTTAACGTATACCAAACTAATTTATATATCAGTGATCATTGAGTCTACTCGTCAAAATATACATCAACCGTAATAACTAAAAAGGTATGAGTTCTTTTCAGTTATGTTTCTATTCAATGGCTAATCATTAGTCTTCTCACATACATTGCTACTAATTCCATCACTATGCAATATTCTTGGAGACTTCTGATAAGAATGAATTACCAATAGTATCGTAATGGTTGATAATCACCACGTTAAAGTGTACCTACGCACTGGTATGAATATTCATGCGTAGTCACTGAAAGTCAGCCATTTTAATGCGATCAATAAAATCCAAATTCTGTCCTTAAGTAGTACCGTTATACTGGATAATGCTGAATTTCGCGTGGTATCTACTTTGCATCCACTTCACGGAACGCCGAACATTATTTTGCGTGATATATAACGAGACCATTAGCATCTGATCTGTTGAAAACCGTCTGGATGCCTTTGTACTAACTGGAATGTGTGCTGGCTCTCTAGTCTAGTTGCTCAGGTAAATATACTTTTGTATCTTTAGACTGTCACAACAGGAGGCTTCATTGTAGTGATAATTTAGGAAGTTAAGTGAAATCGTACTGCTGATTGTTGCAGGCGTATCGAAGCAAGATAGTACTCTAAGGTATCGAATATATCCAGTGCCAGGAGGAAGAGCTAGAAACAGCAATCCTTACTATGAAATAGAAATCTTAGCTTTGCAGGGGAGATGCTAGTTTTTGAATTATGGAATCAAACTCACAAAACTTTTACTGGAGATCTTGGTACCGAGGTAGTATTCCAAGCCGTCAATGATAACGTGTGGTGAGATCTTTCTTTATCAAGACACTACCTCAGCAGAAGTTTTATAACGGCGAAAACTGATTTTTTGGGCATATGTAGCTGCCTATAACCTACCCTTAGTAATAAAATAAAACCTCTAGCGTTCAATGCCTCAAAATCTGCGGCGGTTTTAAGTTCGTGAGTAATCTCAAAACTACTTGTTTAACAGCAAAATAGCTGGTGTTGGCCTTTATTCCAATTAACTATCCTTAAACTCGTTGCTGTATTCATTTTTCGTATTTCCTTCAGTCCTATGCTACGACTACTTGAGAAAAAACACTGAATTACATAAAAAGCAAGTTATATCGCAAATTCACTTCGATAGCCAATACCAAATTCGAGGGAAAATCCTACAAGCAAAAGCCAGTAGCATTTACACTAAGTGACCTTGTGTCATAACAACCTAACGACTTATTTCTGGTACCTCGACAATTATATAGGCGTCATCCTTACAGTCCCTCTCCCTACATCTATCTATTACACCAGCTTTGTATCATATCATGGTGGTTTCTTATTCTGTTAACAAGCCTCCTCACTTGTCTTGCGGATTCTAAGCTGTTATATTTATCTGACCAATGACACTAGAAAACAATCATGCTTCCAAAGACACTTAGTTCTCAACAGCAAAATTAATCCTCACTTCCTGTTCATCCCTTAGGCCTGCTGCTTAGCAATGCCCCACTGCTTTGTATATGAAAATGTTATTACATAAACGTAAACACTCACAATCCCGAGTTACTAGAGGCAACGCTTCATCTTTTTTTCCAGTTAATACCATAAACTTCAAGCCACCAAAAGTATTTCACGGGTTATGTGTAACATAAACTCCCAATATCCACCGCAAATGATAGTAACACAAAGAAATATGGCGTAACCAAAAGTTGTGTGACCAACCTGTTTAAGTAGCGCGAAAAGTTCTAGATTACGTGGGAACGACTAACTTTTAAAGCTTTCCATCGAACGTAGATAGCAAAATGGACCAACACATCTTCTAATTCAGTAGTCAACTCATGTTAATGCACCAACAAATGGAAGTACGTTGGTTAACAAACAGTTTGCGCTAGACGTGTTAATTAAATCTGTTGAAAACAAATTTCCCCTCTTCAAGCAAGCAACTACATTAGGAATGATATATCTTCACACGGCATTGCTAAAACCTAAGGCTTACAGAAAAAGTGATTCGCTAAATATAAGCAGTTGCGAATAAGTAAGTAGATTCGACCCAGTCTTATCATACCTTCCAAAAAAGTTACAGAAATTGGAAAATCTGGAGTATCATTCACAAGTTAGGTGAAGCACACAATGATACGATAGTATCTGCTGATGATGCTTTGAATTATATCTAACCACTTACTTTATATAGCATGATGATTTGACATGTAATATGGTCTAAGAAGTCGGACATGCAAGAAATCCGCAAAGATGAGATTCCTAGTTCACGAAACACCAACACACTTTAATATAAATTCTGTGTATAGGCCTAAAAATGTACCACTTACAAAAAACTTACTGGATTCAGAATTACGATGCTCTTCATATCAAAACGCGATTCACAGAGATGCATCATTTTCCCCACCCACTAACCAATTTACTAATTTAATGGTGTCACTGTGTGAACAAACTGAACCTATCCTAAGAAGTTTAGTTATCTTCAAGATAAAACCCTTATCACTTCATGTGGGCGATATTATACTTTTATTAATTGTAATCTCAGTGGAGAACATGCAAGGTACTCTAATACAGATTCAGTTGTCGCTCTCAAACACTCCATAATAATAGACGAGTGGCACCATATATACATATATATAGGTAATCTGTAGACGATTTTTTTGGATTTCAAACAATTGGTATGATCTTGCGATGACCAGAAGTGTTCTGTACAACTGCTTATGGTAGTCCGTGGTTATTATATGCATTAATAATAAATGTTAGGATTAATAAAAGTACTAGACTTAGTGAAAGATAAATAAAAACTCAAGGTAATGTGAACGGCTAAAATAATTACAATGAGTTGTGTCCAAAGGACGCTCCTTAAATTACATCCGAAAAAGAATACAAAGACCTGACACTAAAGTAGTGCAACTAATCGTGTATATCTCCTGTGAACATATGGTTCCTTTAAATCCTCTTTCCTCGTCATATAGTAATATATTATTTTGCAGTATAATACCCCAAGTAATTAGGCAGAGAATACGCTTTACCCTTTCTGGAACATCTCTGAAATAACAAAAAAGTTCAAAATCCGAAGTGGAATAAACTACATATGGTACTGTTTTTGTATAGGCTGGATAACCGCAGGAACCTATTAGAACCAATGATATAAGCCTCACTGATGGACCCATCCAAACGAAACTGAATCTACACAGATATACACTAGAAGTACTAACACAGACTATTAGGCTTATTGTTTCATACTCCATTAAACATTCACAAGTGGAATCCAATGGAATATCTAATTAACGCTCATTTGAGGAATATTAAGAGCTAAAGATGCACAAACTGTTATGACAGCATATGGCGATACTGTAGAATATCAATTAGGAAGAAATTAGGGATTAAGGCTTGTGGCAATGTCTCACGTAACAGGACAATTTAGGAGAGAAACCAAATAAATACAAAAGCCAAGTACTCGTTACCTTACCAATCCTCCCAGATTTAGAAGGGAATTTTAGGGATTGGTCTCGACGCACTACTTCAACTATCGAGAGAGGGAAGTGTTAGGGAAGAACTTATACTGGCTCCAAGCCTTCTGTGATTATCTTCAATAACAAGTCTGAACCCCAATACGTTCCGAGTTACCAGTCTTGAAATTTCAGTTTAAACTTGGCCAAAAAATAAAATACTGAACTTAAAGTTATGTAGTTTAATACGAATACATAAACTAGTAAGCACAGCTCGAGAACATCTACGTACAGCTAGTGAACATACACAAAAACACTACTTGCATAAACTAGCTGACTAAAATCTTAGAACAGGTGTATAATGGTTACATAACAGTGTATTTCACCGAGTATTTTAATGCATAAATCTGTGGAACACAAAATAGATGGTAACAGAGTCAATTTATGTGGAGAAAAATAAGGTGCATATAACAAAAGTGATTTACATAATTGTCTTCGCAGTATAATCAGAATATAAAACAACTACACCAATCTTTCAATGCAGTGTAACAATCCCCGGACTGTTTCGAGTTAGCACCACATGTCTGGGAAAGCCATTCCTTAAACAGGTCTTCTTCGCATCGCAGGAGAAGAAACTGTCCTAGAACGACGTAAGCCTTGTCATATCCTTTGGCTTTAAGTCTTTCTCCAAGCTTTTCACCGATTCCTGGGAGTTCCTCAACAACTTTCTGCGAAATAGGCTCTGAAACAAAGCTTTTGTGCTTCTGAGATGTAGACATCCCCAAACAATTCAAATCCTCATACGCGAAATAACGATATGCTGAGATTCAATAGTTCAATATACGGTGTAACTGTGTAATAACTTTAAACTGTTACCTGTAAGTTAAAATTGATCCCTGAGCACTTTTTACTTCTTTTTTAAAAGTTTGAGTCCCAAATCTTCAGCGCTGGAGAACATCATCGTCATCAACGTCACCACATACTTCTGATTGGTTTTCTCGCAGAAAGTTAACCTTGCATCTCTTTGTGGCTGTTTCTTGAACGTCAGATCATCTACATGTTAACTGTATCCGCCTACGCAAAGCCTTTCTTCTTAGTTTTCTCACGACCAATATTGGGGACATAAACATTGACGTAAATTACTGTCTATCAACTTTGGCTAGCAGCCAGCTCTCACCACACTTTAACAGTTGGGTTAATCTTTTCCTATTACTTTTCTTATTCCTGTGTCTTTGTCATTTCTTTCAGGAGCATGACCCTTATTTGAGAATTATTCCCTGGCTTGTCATTTAGTCAGGACGCGACACCACCAGATTTCGTGCAGAATTACGTAGCCAAAATTATGTTGAAATCCAGCCAAGGAGATATCCACTAATTCTGAAAAATTTGGTTCCACTGTTTTACATTCTAAAAAAATGCTGCCCGTTCCATGTAAATGATTGATGCTACTCCCATTATTAAGGAGTTGAGGTAACCGTAAAATACGGTTTGAATTGTTTACGAGGAAGTTTACTGACTCTCTAGTCTCCTGAATACTAATCCCTCACCCCCCAGATGCCCAGTTGGTTCGGTGCCAGTATAAATAATTTATCAGAAGTCATCAAGTTTGTATTTGTCACATTTTGTGACCAAAAAAATTAACTGTGATTGTATTGCTCAGATAATATATGACTTGCTAACACCTTTTTCTAACTTATACTGCCTGGCAATTCCCTGCATCCAGCCCTACTGGAAAAAGCCCGCAATAATACACAACAACTTTATTCAAAAATTCATGGCGTCCTATAGTGGGAAATTTTCGCTTTAACGGTTGAGGTTTTGGGCTTCAGAATATGCCTATGAATGATAAAATAGCCAAAGATTTCATTTCCGCCCTTGAATTTCTTTATATTGATGAGCTCTTTTTTCTAGCATCGACTCATAGGGGAAATTCAACCATATTTATTGTGTTGGAATGAATCCATTTTCCTAATGTGGTTTGTATTATCAGTAAAATCGGGTCCCAGGAACTGTTATACGAGTGCGCCTTGTCGAAGGAAGCTCCCGGGTACGAACTACAGTGAGTGCATGCTACTAAAGAATTTGGAACTGGGATGAAACAGCTGTTCAGTAATCCTTGGTTTTCAATAATTTCTTGACTTATATTAATCCGTGGTCAAACCTAAAACAAATCAAATCCTTACACACTAACTCTTGTAAGTGAATGATGAATATCACGAAACAACGTCGAAATTCATGCTGGCCTCAGAAATCGGCAAAAGAGGCCATGATACGTCCAGGGAATTTAGACGAAGACTATGAGTCATGAGCGGACAAGGTGTTTAAACGTTTAAAATATAAATGAGGAAGGCTGTCAAGCGGTTCGGTTGACCTAAAAACTCAAAAAGGCTGCAAATTCAACTGCTAATGCCAATAATTTTGCTAGAAGTTGCTTGATGGGTTGATAAATGCAGATTTAGGATGAGTGTGTGATGATTGCTTACATTTTGATGGGAGCCGTTCAAAGAGTGTACCTTAATTTAGCTCGAAACATGCTATGCTTCTGGGAGAGGACTGCTCAGGCTAGATTACCTAGTGCTGAGCTACCCCCTGCTAAAATGAAATGAACAAGCCCAAAAATTGAAATTTAGGAGTGACCACGTATCTGTTAAGCATGGCTCGTCCATTAAGAAGCAGTTAAGTAGGAACAGCTCTCCAACAGACACTGTTGGGAAAAGGCCAAATATACAAAAGTTGAAGTGACATGTGACGATTCCATTTCGGTGTCATTCACTGCCCTGAACCAGAACGGTGAATGAAGGTAGGATATTTCAAAGTCTGAAGCCAGCGATCCCCTCTATATTACGGCGACCTCTTATTTTCGTGAAGAAACTCTGTAATTATAGAGATACGGGGTTATTTGGAGCCCCTAAAATATAAGACACACCACAAGTGATCAGTCTTGACGACGGAATCACAATTAAGCATATACGCCCTCTTGTTTTGGAAGTTTAATTTATCAATCAGTAATCTGATCTTTAAAAGTAATACACATCCACATTTCACGATATTAATTGGTGATAATAAACGCTATTGCGTTTTAAATCTACCCCACTTTTGGTGTTTTCCTCTTGCAATGGTAGAATAATGGTTTTCGATTTCCCGTAGGTAGATACCATCTTGTACGGTTTCATCTGGTTTTGTTACGCGTGGTCTCCAAATAACTGTGATGAATACATAAATAATACTTGAATATTTTAAGGTTGTTATACAGTTTTTACAGGCATAAAGTTTTTTTCGTCGTTAACTCTCTTAAGACTGATTAGACGTTTTGGTGGATGCTGGTGACTACGACCCGTTAGGCCCCAATGGTTTCTTGAATGGTAGATATATGTACAATATTTACTCCTTCGATATTTCCCACACACTTAGTCTAATATTCTGTGTTTCGTGTGAATTGACGGTGTTAGTAATGTGCTTCAGTAACAAAGATTTTTCCAGAAGTCTGTCGCAATTGATCAGGGTGAGTGGAAGCAGCACAGGTGTGAGATATTCAGACAATGTGCACATTATGTTCACATCCAGAAGAAAAGTCGCCGACCAAGATATATAACGTTGAAGCTAGACAATTTTATAGAACTCTCCTACGGTGTAAAACTTCCTTCGCAATATTTCCTTCCATTACGCCATTAAGAAACTATTGTCACAACATTTATTATTATAGTGTGATTCAGTGGAACAATTACTAGCAGTTCATCACATTAAATATACGTGGTTCTTCCGATATTCTCCAGATTATCAGCCCGCTCCGCAAATTAAATGAGGAGAAAATAATGATCACTGAAATTAATGAAAACTAAAGTAATTTATTTCCATGGTAGTAACTACTTGTAGTCTAATACCTATTCAAACGAGGTTTCTGGCATAGAACGACCAGTAAGAACATCAGTTACAGCCAGTGAAGCTCGGTGGGTCATTGCGACTTACGAGTCCAACCACCACATCAAGGTAAGTTACCAGTCGGAAGTGAGTGAATTGTTGCGTTACATTTTCTATGACACCTTCAAGTTAGAGACAGACGGCATAAACTCATGAAGTGAATTTATATTCTCTTTCTGCAGTATTAGGAAGACTGTCACGCAATAGTCAAAGCAGTAATAATACAGCCATTACAGTTAATTTTGTGAAATTCGTCTTGAAATTCTAGCTGAAAACCACCAGATGTTTGCATGTTCGGAAACTAGCTACGGTCCCCCTTATTTATGAGCTTCAGTTATTAAGTGTTTTAGAACTTGAGTGCAATAAATCCAAAAGCATTTATTTACAAAAATCAAAACAACAAGGAAAATAACTAGAAACGGACCGAAGAAAGGCATTACAGGTAGTTCATTTTGGTCATCATGTGCAGAGGAATACTGCAGGCAGTTTTATTCACGGCCTACAAAATAAATTCAAATAATTAAAACATGCAAATTACACAAAAGTAATTTGAAGATTAAAGAAAACTGGCGTAAAAACCTGTCTCAGTGCATTGTGTTTTGAGATTACCGTGGACATTACAGACAAAAATATCAAACATTTTGAGAAGTTAAAAGAAGCAGTACACAGTAATTGTCTAACTGTAAAGGTAACTAATGTAAGAATACAGTGAATGCAATAAACAGAACAATATACTAATTCAATTATACTGACATTCCACATATTGAGAAGAGAATAATGATTGAACAGACTCCATTCGAATCCATTGATCATAAGTCAAGTGCTATAGGCAATGTTACACCATATGCAAAATTATAAGTCCTCACCATAGTTCAAAGTAACACGCAATAGTTGTGCTGCACGAATAAGCAGTGGGAAAGTTTGTTAATTTAATATACAGCAAAAAAGTTCTAATTATGAGATTGAAGAGAAATGCAATCTTCTGCTCAAACGATTAAGGAGTCATCTATCATCAACGAGGTGACGTCTGAGATACGTTGTCACTAGGTTGACTACGCTAGGTATTACAAATAGCTTCAGATGTGACAAAAAGCTATGATGAAAGCTCCACAATAGGCGCTTTGCTAAGTGGTACCCTTTTAGTTAGAAAACTCTGAACATGATATTTCCTGTAAAGCGTAACATATCAACATTAATTTGTATTTTTATCAAAGCTAAGCACAGCGAAGTTTAACTATAGCAGAAAAACATGATCAGTTTACCAGCTGTCGTAGACAAGTATTAAAAGATACTACTTTCACTTACTTTAAGATTCACGAAATTGTTCGGCCTCCTATGATCGAAGTATACCTAAATGAAAATGGAAATTATTATGATAATACATACAGTGAGATATCATCACGCACAAGACTAGGAGCAGGAGACGCATAATCTTCAAGTGAAAGCGGTAAAGCTGGTAGAGCGATTTGGCACTCAGCACTTATCAAATCATCCTCATTTCTAAAGAGATATATCAATATACGACTGATTGTAATACTACATGTCTGTTTGTACACTTTCTGAATTACTAAGAGGAGTAACTTCACACACTATTGAGCACGGTCTCGTAAGCACTGAAGCGTATTCAACAGGAAGGGAACTCAGTGGTTCTACTTTCACACAGCATGATAACAGTGTCGCAAATTCCGCATCAGATGTCATTGGTGAAACTACAATACATATTATTGTCAAACAGCGGTTACCTGAGACAAGTGAAGCGCGAAATTTCTCCTTTACGGGTGAATTTCTGATGTACGGAAACCGACTACAAAGTCTTGACAGTGAGGCAGACCTTCCCGCCTTAGCAATAATAAACCTGACCGTAATAGGCGGGAAGGCATAAATCCCGCCTGCATGAAGGACAGATATCCATCCAATATCCAATATTATTTTTACGACGTAGTGTAGACCAAATCGATTTCTTCGAGCTCGTCGCTTTATTATAAGGCGGAGATGCCTCAGATCCACTAAAATTCTCTATTGTGTGTCCCACAATTCAACTG